GCCTCATGGTCATTTCTCTGGGTCCTTTCTGGTTGACCTTTCTCCCACCTTGTGCTCTGCCAATGACCTCATTGCCTACCTTGCCTTAAAAATAGCAGGTGACCCACAAGTAGTTTAGAGTAGTTTGAGTTTATACCTCTATGTTTCTCCCGTGTTGTGCACTTTACTAGAAGACAAAGCTACGCCCAGCCTAGTTCACCTGTGACATCAGCGGGGCACAAAGCTCATTCGAAATGTGCTTTTTACTGTCTTTTAAAATCTTCAGTGTAAACATAAGAAGTCTGTCATCTAATGACCCCAACAATAAGAAAATCAAAATAAATGAACTGCTTTTAAAATATCTGACAATATTTGAATGAAAGTGAGTGATGTATCTGTAGGGCTAAATAAAACAGTGTGGTTACTATTTAAACTTTGAATTATTGAAGATAATTCCAATTTCTTATCACTTTGCTTCTCTGAATAAATGCAGAATTCAAACACATCACTTGAGGAAGCCATGTTTTCATTATTATTATTTTTATGGGTAGTCTTTTTTTCCCCCAGGATTTTTAAGTCTTAATGTTTAGAGTAGTTTGAGTTTATACCAGAAGAAAATGTACAGAAGATTACACACACACACACACACACACACACACACACACACACACACACACACTTTCTGTTGGTATTTAACACTTCTTGCGCTCCCATGGCTCCTCTGTTACGAGACATGAACCATAATGAAGGTAAGCTCTTTTTCCAGATTGCTCTCAGGACTCCCTCTTAGTCTGGAACTTCTGATAGTCTGACGACGACGATGTGTCCCGGGCGTGGGCCTCTTACTGAGAATCCCTTGAGCTTTGGGAATGTACAGATTCACATCTGTCATCAGCGTTTTGCGAAGGTGTCATCCAACATTTCATCTTGTGTCCTTTCTTCCCCTTTCTCGTTCTCTCCTCCAGGAATCTCCTTGTGCTCGGGGCTGTCTTGATGGTGTCCCACGGGCTCCGGGATGCCTCACTTGTATTCTGTCTTCTTCTACTTCTTAGATTGGATACTCTGTCCATCTATCTCCCTCCAGGTTCTTCCTTTCCTCCTCCTCCTCCTCCTCCTCTTCTGCTTTTTCTATTTTGATGTTATGGGTGGCCATTGAAGTTTCGACGGAGTGAGCTTTGTGATCAGCTAAATTCCTAGCAGCAGCCTGTCCCCCGTCTTCGTCAAGAACGCCGTGTCTATCTTGGGACGCACCTTCCACCTTCAGTTGGCAGTACACAGCTTGCCGTAGCCCCCACCTGCGGCTGGCGTGGGACAGCCGCTGTGCCAGCAGGCACATGGAAGTCTCAGTCTTCGTCGGGTCTTGCCTGGGCAGGCTTTCATCGCTCCACAGGTGCATAGTGTCTTCTGCATCCTGGTAATGGGTCACAGCTTTTCTGGACCCTGCAGACATCTCATTCCCCCACTTCTCACCAAGCACACAGGCTTCTTGAGCCTGATGTTCATCCAGTTTCTACCCGCTCCCTCAAGCAGCTGGGAATGTAAATTGTTGGCTCTGTTTTTGCCCAGTAGCTCTCCACAAAAAGGCTTTCCCCACGAGGCCAGCCCCAAGTCACCTCGGGGAGAGATGGTTTTCTGGGAATGGTGTTTGGCACACCCCCCCCCCACCCCCCGGGTTTCCACCGGCCTGCTGATGGCATGTCTGTGGTGTTTGGGGCTCTTCTGGAGCGAGAGGGTGGTGGATGGGGACAGGCAGGTAAGTTAAAACAGCACGAACCTCTGCGTTTACCCAGGTCTGCCGTCTTTCCCACGATGAACGCTCTCTGGCCACTGTAACCCTTGGCTTACTTGTAGAATTGGGGGGGATTTTGTTCTGGCAGCTTTTTGAGGTTATGCTGGGTGGCACTGGCCCCTTTTGTAGAGAGAGGCCCGCCCGGTATTTTTCTTTGCACTGTAATTAGTTGTATAGCTAAGTGATTAAAAGCATAGAGTGCTTCCCTCTTTCCAGAAACTTCTCTGATGTTTTGCACTTCTGTTAACATTTTAGGACTACGATGATGGATATGGTACAGCTTATGATGAGCAGGGTTATGATTCCTATGATAACAGCTATAGCGCCCCAGCCCAGAGGTAAGCGTGCTTCATTACTCTCAGCCTGCATCACAGACAGGCCTGCGTATCCTTGGGGAGTGGGGGTGGGGGGCCAGGGGGGTGGGGAAGGGAGTGTGATAAAGAGAAACCAGTTTGGACAACGTTATCTTTTTGGCATGGTTTGCTTTAATTTGAAAGATGTCGCCTGTCTCACTAGCTTGGATGGAAAACAAAACAATAGGAAACAAAGATAACCCACTGCCCTTGAGTCAGTCTGCAAGACAGACAGCACTGCCCTCCCCGTTGGCGTTGCTGACGCTTGCTCTCTTGTCCCTGGAGTGACCTGTGGTTCAAACCGCCAACCGTTCCATCGGCGGCTGAGTGCTTAAACACAGGGCCAACAGGATGTGGGTTAAGCAAAGGCAGAAAAAAACCCTGAAAACTAACAAACAAACAAAACAGAAAACCTCGCTGACGGCGGTTCATTCTGACTCACAGCCACCTTGTAGGACAGGGTAGAACGGCCCTGCGGGTTTCCAAGAGGAACGCTCCTGCCCATGGAGCAGCGGGTGGTTTCAGACCTCAGACCTTGCGGTTAGCAGCCCAGCACGTTACCACGTGCCACCAGGGTTCTGAATAGACACTGGTTAGAAGCCAACCAGAGCCGGCTTCTATTCGAGCAGAGGGCTCGAGGTTGTTGGAAACAGGAGCACCCCTGCTTAGAGACTGCAAGCAGGTCTCCAAACCCACGAGGAACCTTCTGGATCTTTCTTTTGCGACTCCTGGCAGCACAGTGATCTGGGGTAGGCTGAAGGGATGTTTGCCTTTAGGAACCAAATCATTGCAGACTTGTATTCTTTGCCCCTCTTCAGCATATACAGAGTGTGAGTGTGTGCATTAGATTACATACTATTTTAGGGATCAGTCCTAGAGCCTGATTACTTGAGCACTCCTGTAAATTCCAGTGGGCTGCCTCAGGCCCAGGAACCCTTGTGAGCAAGGCAGTGGTCTCCCCTCATGGCGAAAGGGAGGCCGAGGCATAGAGGCTGGCCATCCCTGTGTGTTTCTAGGGCCCAGTCTCGTTAATTCTGCCCCGCATCCACTATTGTAGTCCGCCTGTTTGATCTCGCATGCAGGCCGATGCAATTACCTTCGCTGTACGTATAGTTTGTGAGCAGTGTCAACAAAATGATAGGGGGCCACACCTGACCTCCAGCTCCCAGCCACCACCTGCAACAAGGTGCAGAGGTCAACCATGCCTCCGCTCTCCCTCCTTTTCGTCCCACTTCTGACACCAATCACAGGTCTCCCACAACGTTCTTTATTTTCTGTTGGCCGCACACCACTCGCAGGCAAAGCTCAGGATCATGGGGTTTACAAGGGAAGGTAGCAGGTTATAATTCAGGTGTCTTCTCTGCCATGCCCACAGGCAGGCTTCTCTCTGGCTGGCCCTCAGTCCCTTGGCCTGGCCACTGCCCTGCTCATGCAGTGTTACAAAGCTCTTTTAAAGCTGCTCACATTAGCACCATTTATAGATGTAGGAGCCAAGGCATGGCTTTTTAATGAAGCGCATGGGCAATGCATGATAATTATCCCAACACTTTTCATTTCGTGGTATTTGGCATGAAGAACCCCGGTAAAGCAGTTGCCCGGCTTGGTGCTGTGATGGATGGCTGGGGGCAATGGCTCCGCCCGGAGAGCGCAAAGACTCCACCCCTTCGTGCTTGGAGTTCACTGCAGGCTGTGTAGCATGTTTAACGCTTTTGTGGCTGGTCCTGTTTCCTCCAGGTGACAGGAAGCAAGAATATGTCTTTCGCCGGTGAGAACCTGGGACTCAGACAAGTGTGTTTCTAATCCCCAGTGTAGGGCCAGACCCATAAAGCGAGTGGTCTTTTCACCTTAAGCTGTGGGAAGGCCGCCGTAGGACTCTCCTCGGGTCATTGATTATTGAGTGTTCACTTGGTGCCCAGCGCTGTGTTTGAAGCCAGGAGTGCAAGGAAGATTAAGAAAGGGACCCTACCCTTGGAAAGCTCACAGACTAGGAGAGAGATAGAAATATTCAGTGCAGTGAACCTAGTAATTGTGAGAAGTCTGCAAGGGAGGGAAATTATTATTTCCACAAGAACAAAGCATACCTGTTGACATCCAGGTGATTACGACATAGTGTCTACCCCACCTCAGGGTTTCCAAGACTGCGTTTCATCTTCCTCCCATGGAGCAGCTGGTGGATTTGAACTTCCGACCTCTGGGTTAGCAGTGTGTGATAACCACACCAGTGGGCGGGCTCCTTATTTCCCAAGGAAGACACTACAGAGGTGGCTGGGGACGTTGGGGCCGCCTCAGTAAGGATGAGACGTTTAGCTGTAACTTGAAGTGTACGTAGGAGTCAGCAGGCAGAGGTTAGGACCTTTCACACAGTAGGTAGCAAGGCCAGGGGATGAGGGTCCCTGTGTTTCCGTAGAGAGTTTGGAGAGCTCTCCGAGGTGGGTGGCACCCAGAAGTGGTGAGAGGGGAAGTGAGGCAAGCCCCTGCCCCAGGTGACCCTTGGGATGGTGGGCAGCAGCCTGGAGCCGCTGACGAGGGGTGTGTGAAGGAGCGGTGCATTCAGACCTGAATGTAGACAAATGACGGGCAGAAGATGAGCCTGGGCGAAGGGAAGAGTAAGAGCCTGGTGTGCCATCCACACACACCCTTTAAGCTGGAGGGACCTGGGAGCAGCACCTCCTGTCTGCCCAGTGGCCTCCCCAGTGCTGCCCCGCCTCACCTGAAGCCGCAGAAGGAAGCTTGTGAGGGGCAGTTAGGGAGTCTACTGTGTGCTTACTGCATGGACTCATTGCCTGTGCCCATTTTCAAGGAGAGCAGACACACGGCTCAGCGGAATTGGGAGGGTGGCTCAAATCACGCAGCTTACAGGGCCGGAGCCCAGCCCATATGACGCCCGTCGTGAGGGTTAGCACCCGGCTTCCCCTTGGCAGCTCTCAGGCTGACCCAGGCCGCCACCCCAAAGACACGTGAAGTGTTTGCTGAGGGAGTGGGTTTATGCACGTGCTAAAACGTGATCTGGGAGGGAATTGGGAATCTGGTAGACACCATTTGATGGTGGCGGCAGGAATCCACTGGATTTGGTCTCAACTCGGAGTGACCCCGAGTGACAAAGTGGAGCTGCACCCCATCGAATGTTCTGGGCTGTAACACCATGAAAGAAGCAGGGATGGCCAGGCCTTCCTCCCACAGACCTGCTGGCTTTGTAGCCTGGCACGTGACCAGGCGTCACCAGTGAAGTGCAAAACCAAACTCCCAGCAGTAAGTCGCATCAGACTCAGTGGGTGGAGTACTGGGTTAACCAACCTCAAAGTCAGCAGTTCTGACCCATGAGCAGGCGCCCATGGGAGAAAGGAGGCGTTGTGCTCCGGTGAAGAGTTAGAGTCTTGGAAACTCACAGGGCAGTGCTACCCCGTCCCGTAGGGTCACCAGTTTCCAAACTATTCCTGTTGTCAGGGACTCTGTCATCCTCATAAGATTCAGCTATCAGGTTGTCTTTTATTTTCAAAGATTTTTGTCATTGGGGGTAGATTCAGAAGGTGTGTGTGTGTGTGTGTGTGTGTGTGTGTGTTTGGCTATTGGGAGCATACAGGAAAACGTACCCATCCGTGCACTTCTAGTGGCCTCCTTTTCTGAATCCCTCCTCCCTCAACGTCAGTCCCTTGCCCCCTACAGGCTCGCTGTAATCTTCCGGCTGACCCCAGGTATGGCCGACCTCCTGGACTGGCTCAGCTGTTTGGCTCTAAGAAGCCTTCCAGGAATGAGCAGGGGTTAAGGAGAAAGGGCCAATGCTCATAGTACCCCAGACGATGGTGACTGCACTTCCCGACAGGGAAGCTTCATCCAGCCTTGGGGAGGCCCTCCACAGCTCCCGTCTCCGCTCTTGGCTTCCCCTCCAGTGTTCCTGAACTCCAGGAGCCGGCCGGCCCCCGGTGCCCCTAAGACGGAGCAGGGCACAGAGGCCTTTGGTGTCCCTCCCCCCACCTCCTGCCAGCGCCCCTTTTGTCATGGCTTAGATTCAGGTGCTGGCACGAATTCATTTGTTTCACAAACACAGCATCCGGGATGTAGTGCTCTTTGTGGTCCTCTTGATTCTGTAGGAATCACGCTTCCATCTGCACGGCCCGTCCGTCTTACTAGGCTCTGAGACCTTCAGCGGCGTGAGCGTGGTGTCGAGGGCAAAGCTCCGGAAGGAACCTTACAGCCCTTCACAGGACAGCCCCCTGCTCCTGGGGTGGGCACAGCCTTCATCCTGCCCCAATTAGAGGAATGTGCGATGTTTGTAGTCTAAAATGGCTTGATTTCGACACTGGGTTCTATAAAATTAATTCCACCCTCCACGAATTCCCAGTTAAATCGGGAGGTAAATGCCCGGGATGGCTGTGGCTGAGGGTGCCGGCCGAGTTCTACCGAGCTGCTCTGAAACGGCTTTTGGAGCCCTGGCTACTGTGTGAGTGGGAATCGCCTTGGCAGCTTCCGGAAGGGGGAAGACAGCAGCACGCTCTGGAAGGAGCCTGTGGGGTGGTGGACATGAGGTTGGTGCTGGCTGTGCTGCTGTGGTCCTGATGGGCTACACTGGTGGTGGTGGGTTCTTGATGGTGGAGGTGGGTGTGGTGTTGACGTTGGCTATTTCCACGTTGGGCTTTTATCATGAAAGCCAAACTGTTCCTTGGGTTTCTCTCCGTGAAGTGAAAACCCGTGTCTGTGGGGGAGTCAGGAGGAGAAGGGGGCGCCGCATGCTCAGGGGCTTCTCTTCTCCCGTCTGGGAGTGAAGACGGAGCGGCCTGGGTGCCCGAAGAGAGGGCAGAGCCACAGGAGCAGCGTCTCCCACTCCTAACTAATGTTGTGGCCCGGACCAGTTTCTGGTCTGCTCAGCAGAGGAGGAGTGGTTTCTTCCAGCGGAGCTTTGCAAATCTGCTATGTTACCATGAGTGTCCCTGCTGGGGAGAGCGCCGGGTCTCGGTCAGCTCCATTCCCCCGCTGATTTCTGCCCACAG